AGCTACTGCCTGTTAGGATAAGATTGATTTTCCCAAATGACATACGCTCTAAGAAAAGGGTAGGTGGGTGGGCGGGGCCAGCTCTTGCCTAAATAAGGCTGGCTTTGGCAAATCATATACCTTCTTAAAAAATAGGGGGTGGGGGGGTGGACGGGGCTAATACCTGCTAGGATAAGACTGATTTTAGCATAATTATGGAGTATTGAAAAAGGTGGAAGTTTTCATGAAGAGAAACTATGCTTATCTCCAAAAATATAGGGTATTTCTGCTTTCGGGTTAAGATTTTAGGAATATTCAGGTTCCAGCCCCGTACAGCCGCACTCTAATTTCTTAGATAGTATATCATTTGCCAAAATCAGTTTTACCTTAGCAGATACTAGCCCCGCCCACCCACCCTTACTTTTCTTAGAGGGTATCTCATTTTAGAAATTAGAGGGTGGGTGGGCGGTTCTGGTACTTGCTAAGATAAAACTGATTTTGGCAAATATTATACCTTCTAAAAAAATGGGAAGGGTGGGTGGGTGAGCGGGGCTAGTACCTGCTAGAATAAGACTAAATTTCGCAAAAGACAACGTCTAAGAAAATAAAGAGAGAGTACGAGCCCCGCCCACCCACCTCGATCTTCTTTGGGGACATGTCATTTGCTAAAATCACTCTTATTTTAGGAAGTACTGGACCCGCCCACCCACCCTGTATTTTCATTGAAAATATATCTTCTAAGACAACTCTTTCGAAACTTTAATATTTCCATATGAAAATTTCGACCTTTTGGAAAATTACCGAAACAGATTTTTTGTAGATTTTTCCGAAATAGTCCAATGAAATATGCGATTTTTTTATAATTTAAAAAAAAATCGGTTATCAAATTGAATTTTTCTGAAGTTTTAACCTGAGTCCACAAACGCGGCATATTTTTGAAAACAGCACGTCGAAATCTGTATTTACTAATTCTTCCCAGATTTTTTAACAACTTTTTGACCACCTTCGTAAATTATCTAAAGAGATTTTTTTATAGAATTTGAACTCCAGAAATTATATATTTTCAGACTCATTTCTTTGAAAACTTCTACCATTTTCAAGTCTCAAAACCCAGTATTTTTAAAATCTCCCTCCAGGTCTAGGAACACTCGATATTTCTTGAATCAGCGAGATCTATATCCTAGAAATTTTTGTGGATTTTTTGACAACTTTCTCAAAAGCTTAATTTTTCAGTACTTCGAAAATTTCGATATTTCTTCGAAAATTAGCTAACGAATTTTTTTTGCAGATTTCAAACTCGAAAAGTTATTTTCGTCTTAATTTTTTCGAAAATTCCTCGCATTTGTCTAGAATGGTCCAATGAAATGTCAATTTTCCTGATTTTTTAATAAACAACTTAACAAACCAAAATTTTCTGTGGATTTTTTGATGTACTCAATATTGTTCCTCTGCATGAAAACTTCGACCTTTTTCCGATCATCTTCGAAAATTCCCTAGAAATTGTTTTATAGATTTACAACTTCAGAAGAAATTCGAAAATTTCTACCCTTTTTTCAAAATCGTCCAATGAATATTTATAAAATCTTGTCCAGAGACCATAAACACTGTATATTTTTCGAATCAGCACGTCGAAATCTATATTACAGAATTTATTATTGACTGTTGATAGAGAATTTTTTGGAAAGTTCAATTTTCAATACCAGCTTTTTGAAAATTTCGACCTTTTTTCTACCCCTTTGGAAAACTAACTATAAAGATTTTTTGTCAACTAAATCTTGAACTGAGACCACAAATACGCTATATTTTTATAAACAGCACCTCGAGCTCTATATTCTATCATTTTTCCTAGATTTTTAGATAACTTTTTTAAAAGCCCAATTTTTCAATAGTCAACAGTTAAGCCAGCCCAGCCCACTCGTCCCTTATTCTTTTAACATAGCTAGCACCTGCTAAAATAGGACTGATTTTACCAAATAACATACCCTCCAAGAAACTACAGGGTGGGTGGGCGGGGCTAGTGCCTTCTAAAATAAGATTGATTTTGTAAAATAACATATTTTCTAGAAAAATAGGGGATGGGTACCAACCCTGCCCACTCGCCCTTTAATTTCTTAGAGAGTATGTCAATTTACAAAATCAATGGTATCTTAGCAGGTACTAGCCCCGCCCACCCACCCTGTATTTTCTGTCAAAGTGTATCTTTTAAGACAACGTCTTCAAAAATTCAATATTTCCTTATGAAAATTTCGACCATTTTGGAAAATTACCGAAAGAGATTTTTCGTAGTTTTTCCGAAATAGTCCAATGAAATATGACACTTTTTATGTTTAAAAAAAATCGGTTATCAAACTGAATTTTTCTAAAGTTTTAAACTGGGTCCACAAACGCAGCATATTTTTGAAAACAGCACGTCGAAATCTGTATTTACTATTTATTCTTCTTAGATTTTTTGACAACTTTTTGACATAAATTATCTAAGAAGATTTTTTATAGACTTTGAAATCCAGCAATTATTTTCAGACTCATTTCTTTGAAAACTCCTACCATTTTCCCAGAATCTCCCAATAAAATTATGTCCATTTTTAAGATTAGAAAAAAATCGAGCTTCAAACTCAATATTTTTTGAAACTGAATATTCCTAAAATTTTAACCTGAAAGCAGAAATAGGCCTTATTTTTGGAGATAGCATAGTTCCTCTTCATGAAAATTTCGAACTTTTTTCGGATCATCTTCGAAAATTATCTAGATTTTTTTATAGATTTCCCAGTTCCGAAGTCAATTTCGTCTTCATTTCTTCGAAAATTTCTATCATTTTTCCAGAATAGTCCAATGAATGTTTATAAAATCTTGTTCAAAAACCACAAACACTCTATATATTTTTCGAATCAGCACGTCGAAACCTAGGTATACTACAAAATTTTTTATTGATTGTTGATGGATAATTTTTTCTAAAGCGCAATTTTCAAAACCACTTGTGTGAAAATTTTGACCTTTTTTCTACCACTTTAGAAAATTCCCTAAAAAAGATTTTTCGTCTATTGCATCTTAACCTGAGACCACAAATACGCTATATTTTCGGAAACAGCACCTCGAGATCTATATGTTATAATTTTTACTAGATTTTTATACAACTTGTTTTTCAATACTCCACAGTTATGCTACCCTGCCCACTCGATTTACCAAAATCGGTCTTATCATCGCAGGTACTAGCCCACCCTCTATTTTTTTAGAGGATATGTCATTTACCAAAATCAGTCTAAGCAGGTACCAGCTTCGCCCAGCTCCTCTGTTTTCTTTGAGGGAATGTCATTTGCTAAATTCAGTCTTATTTTAGCAGGTACTAGCCAAGCCCACCTGCCTCCTATTTTCTTAACACAAGGTGGACAAAGCAATCACCTGCCAAAATAAGACTGATTTTGGCAAATGACATACTTTCAGAGAAAATACAGGGTGAGTGAGTGGCTCTGGTACCTGCTAAGATTGATTTTGGCAAATGACGTATCCTCTAAGAAAATAGGGGGTGGGTGGGCGGGGCGATTATCTGCTATGATAAGACTGATTTTAGCAAAAGAAATACTTTCAAAGAAAACGCAGGGTGGGTGGGTGGGGCTAGTACCTGCTGATATGAGACTGATTTTGTAAAATGACATCGTTTAAAAAAATAGGGGGCCCACTCGCCCTCTATTTCTTAGAGAGTATGTCAATTTACAAAATCAGTCTAATCTTAGCAGGTACTAGCCCCGCCCACCCACCCTCTATCTTCTTTGCGGGTATGTCATTTGCTAAAATCAGTCTTTTAAGACAACTTTTTCAAAAATTCAATACTTCCTTATGAAAATTTTAACCATTTTGGAAAATTACCGAAAGACATTTTTTTGTAAATTTTTCCGAAATAGTCCAATGAAATATGTCAATTTTTAAGATTAAAAAAAAATCGATTCGCTCCATATTTTTGAAAACAGCACGTCGGAATCTGTATTTACTAATTCTTTATAGAATTTTTTACCACCTTCGTAAATAATCTAAGGAAATTTGATTATAGACTTTGAAGTCCAGAAATTATGTTCACACTCATTTCTTTGAAAACTGCTACCATTTTCCCAGAATTGCCCATTATGTCAATTTTCAGGATTAGAAAAAAATTGAGTCTCAAACTCAGTATTTTTAAAATCTCGCTCCAGGTCTGGAAACACTCGATATTTTTCGAATCAGCGACATCTATATCCTAGAAATGTTTGTGGATTTTTATACAACTTTTTCAAAAGTTCGATTTTCCAGTACTTTCAAAAATTTCGATATTTTTTCCACCACCTTCGAAAATTAACGATCTTTTTTTGCAGATTTCAAACTCTAAAAGTTATTTTGGTCTTAATTTTTTCGAAAATTCCTCGGATTTTTCCAGTATGGTCCAACTTTTTTAAAAGCTCAATTGTTCAATACTGCACAGTTATGTCAACCCCGCCCACCCGCCCTCTGTTTTTTTGAAGAAATGTGATTTGCCAAAATCAGCTTTATCTCTATCGCATATTTTATTCCCAATCTTCATTGCATTTCTAATTTTTCTTTCAGTTCTCATCGCCGCTCCGCTGAACTTTTCCAAACCATATTTCAACTCTTCATTGGCCTTCGCGTTTGGTAAATATAATTCTTTTCTTAGCTCTTTCTAGTTTTCCACTTTCTTTTCTAAATTCTCAATTTTACTTCCTTTAAGATTTCTTTTAATTTTTTTGTAACATCGTAAAATACATCAAATCTCTGATTGTCTGAATATTATTTTTGTTAATCAACAAACAGGATAGGTCCGGAAGAAAACAATATGTTACTTAAAACAAAAGAGGGAATAAAAATAAATACAAACTAACAAATTAACAAAAACAGTTACAAACAATTTGCTTAAGTGGACATTAGTGAAATTAAAGTTCTTATCAACTTTCCTTAATATAAATAAATACTAATAGCCACTGTTAATCCATTGGAAGCGAATCAATACAGCAACACACTTCACTTCTCAGAGCACCAACATGACATTCAAGCTCTTAAAACTATTATTTACAATCGGCAAATTTTTGGCCATAACTCCACCCTCTCTAGACCACGAAAACCACAACATCTGGAGCAAAGCATGGGCAGCTTTCCTCATTTTCGTGCTAATCTCCTCCCTAGTCTTCTGGTTCATCCACAGAAACCTCCTCTACGCCAGTTTCATTCACATAAAACTAGCAATGCGCATTCTAAGACACACCACCAAGTGCTTCTTCTGCTGCTACATCATCATCAGCGCCAACTTCACCAAGCGAAAGCTCTGGGTCAAGCTAATCAAGAAACTAGAAATGGTTTCAGAAATTTCCAACTATAGCCGCTACAAAGCTATAACCCAGAAATGCTACTTCTTCGCAGCAAATTGCGTCTTCTGGAGCGTCATGATCTTTGCCAGTTACATATTCAACGACTTCTACAAGATAAGCTATTTCGAGATTGCAGTTAGTCTGTTTTTGGAGTGGTATGACTTGTTTCTCTACAGTTATCTTATCAATGTCATCCTCAAGATGCTGCTAGCAAGATACAAGTACTTGAACGATCTTTTCAAGTCAACATTTTCGAAAAACAGCGACGTGATTATCTGCAACGATGGTTTTTTGAAGAGGGCTGAGTTTATTTTGTTCACTTTGAAGGATGCCGTTGATATTTTCAACGAAGTTTTTGGGTGGCCGCTGCTTTTTATCATTTTTTATTGGAGTTTGCTGGTTCTGGATTACACTGATGATTATTTTAAAGATGTGGGAAGTTATAGCAGAATTAAATTGAATGCTATGAGTATTGGGTTGTTGGTGGTTAATTTGGTAAGATTTGGTTGGTTTTGGTGCACTGTGGTGAATTAATTGGTTTTAGCCTGGAATGGTGGTACATATTTTGCTGTGTCAGTCTATTATTAACGAAATGAAGAAAATTGTCAAGCAAGCGTATAAATTGAGGCGGCTTTCGCCGGTGCATAAAGTGCAAGAAGTTAACGAGTTTATTGCGTATAGTTTGTTGAATAATTTTCCGGAGTTTTCAGCAGCGGGGTTTTTGACGATTCGGAGATCAACTATTTTCAGTATTTTGGGAACTGTGACCACTTTTCTTATTATTATGGTGCAATTTAACACTTGTGGAGAGTAAATGGAAAAGAAACATTTTAATCAGTTGCACAAATTTACAAAATTTTGTTTCATTCTTTGTTCTTTGTATGAAAAAAATAAATGTGTATGTGGTATCTTTTTTCAGTTTCCCAGATCTGAAAATGTTACAGTAATTTTTAATTTATTACAATTTTTACGAATTTCTAAAAAACTTGATTTTCAAACTGAATATTTGTAAAATCTTGCTCCGAGGCAACTTTTTTAAAAGTCCAATTTTTCCTTAAAAAAATTTTGACCATTTTAGAAAATTACCGAAAGAGATTTTTTTGTAATTTTTTTCCGAAATAGTCCAAAGAAATATGTCAATTTTTAAGATTTAAAAAAATCGATTTTCAAATTTAATTTTTTCAAAATTTTTGCATAAATCACAAACGCGCTAGATCTATTTAAAGAGATTTTTTGATAGATTCGAACTACAGAAATTATTTTCGTCTTAATTTTTCCGAAAATTCCTCACATTGTTCTGGAATAATCGAATGAAATATTTACCAGATTTTTTATAATTAATTTTGGAGCAGAATGTTCCCAAAATCTTAACCCCAGACCAGAAACACGCTAAATTTTTAGAGACGGCACGTCGAAATTTAGAACTCAAAATTTTTGTGGATTTTCAGAAAACTTTTTCAAAAAAGCTCAATAGTCAATCTTCTTTTTCATGAAAATGTGGACCTTTTGGAGGTCGAAGTCTATAAAAAAATCTCGTATGGTCGAAAAAATGTTGAATTTGTAAGTCCAGAAAAATTGAGTTTTTGAAAAAGTTGTCTGAAAATCCACAAAAAAATGTGGTGTGTAAGTCTCAAAAATATAGTGTTGATGATCCCAGATTAAAATTTTAGAAATAAGTATTCGGTTTGAAAATATTTTTTTTTAATCCTAAAAATTAAGATATGTATCTCATTGGACGATTATGGAAAATAGAGAGGAATTTTCAAAGAATGGGGTGGAAAGTAGTAGATTTTTAGACAACTTGTCTAAAAGTTCAATTTTTCAATTTTCCAGAATCGTCTAATGAAATGTCTATTTTTAAGATTACTTTTAATTGATTTTCAACCTGAATATTTTTAAAATTAAATCTAGGATAACAAACAAGCTATATTTTACGAAACAGTACATCGAAAATTATGTTTCATATTTTTCCTGGATTTGTTGATAATTTTTTTAGATTTATTTTTCATCCTTATGAAAATGTAGACTTGTTTTCCCTCGAAAATTACCTGAAGAATTTTTTTTGTGTTTTTGTCTTAATTCCTCGCATTTTTCCAGTATTGTCCAATGAAAAGTCCAAATTAAAAAAAACTAATTTGAAATTGAATATTTCTAAAATCTTAACTTGATGTTATTTTTTTATCCAGGTGTTAATCATGTCCGCATTTTTTCGAAAATCTTCGCATTTTTCCAAAATACTCCAAAGAAAAGAGCAAATTAAAAAAATGCAAACCAAATCTTTATAAAAACTTAACTTGAAAAATTTCGACCTTTTTCCGATCATCTTCAAAATTACCTACAGATTTTTTTATAGATTTCGAAGTTCCGAAATCAATTTGGTCTTCATTTCTTCGACAATTTCTTCCATTTTTCCTAAATCGTCCAATGATTATAGCAATTTTTGACTTTGTAAAAAATTAAGTTTTAAACGGAATATTTATAAAATCTTGACCATAAACACTCTACCTATATTTTTCGAATCAGCACGTCCAGATCTATATTACCGAATTTTTTGTTGAATTTTGGACAACTTTTTCAAAAGCTTAATTTTCCGTACCTTTATGAAAATTTTGACCTTTTTTCAACCACCTTCGAAAATTACCCAAAAAGACTTTTTGTAGACTAAATCTTAACCTGGAACCACAAACAGGTTATATTTTTGGAAACAGCACCCCGAGATCTATATTTTATAGGTTTTCCTAGATTTTTAGAATTTTTTTTTTAAAGCTCAATTTTTCAAAACTTCACAATTATGAAAATCTCAGCTTATTTTTGACCACGTTTGCATATTACTTATAGAGATTTTTTTTTCTTCGTCATTTCTTCAAAAATTCCTCGCATTTTTCCAAAATAATCCACTGAAAAATCTATGAGTTTCTAAAATCTTAACTGGGAACCACAAACACGCTATATTTTTTAAAATAGCAGGTCGACATCCCTATTTCAGAGCTTTTTCTGGATTTTAAGAGAACGTTTTCAAAAGCTCAATTTTTCACTACTACACACTTACGAAGATTTCAACTTAATTTTGAGCACTTTTGGAAATTACCTAAAGAGGTTTTTCTAGGAGATTTCGACTTCCAAAAGTTATTTTTATCCTCATTCCACACATTTTATAAATATCCCCCTCAAATACGACAATTTTTAAGTTAAAAAAGACTTTCAAAGTGAAGCTTTCTAAAATCTTAACCGAGAATCACAAAGACCCTATATTTTTGGAAATAGCACGTCGAGATCTTTTCAAAATTTTTCTTGGATTTTTAGACAACTTTTCCAGAAACCCAATTTTTCAGTACTCCAGACCACTATTGAAAATTACCTGTACAGATTTTTTAGGAGATTCAGAAGTTATTTTTGTCCTAATGTCTTCTAAAATAAGTATGTCAATTTTTGAGAAGAAAAAAATTTCTAAAATCTGAACCTGAGACCACAAAAACTATATTTTTGGAAGAATTACGTCAATACTTTATATTTTTTTATGAATTTTTTTACAAATTTTTCAAAAGTCCAATTTTCTGTACTCCACAATTATGAAAATCTCAACTTATTTTTGACCACCTTTGAAAATTACCTAAAGAGATTCAGATTTTCAAACTAAATCACAAAAACAGCACGTCGAGAACTAACCGGTGATCAAAAAGTTTTCAGGTTAGAGTATGCAATAGAAATATTTCTAATGTCTTTGATTAAACTTTAAATGTCAAAAAATCAAATTTTTGAATTACAAATGAGATTATCCGTGACATTTGCAGTTTGATCAAAGACATGAGAATTGAGAAATATTTCCATGGCCAATTCTAATCTGAAAACTTGTTGAGCACGCGTTACTTATGATTTTTCCTGGATTGTAGACCAGTTTTTCAAAAACCCAATTTTTCAATACTTCACAACTTTTGAAAATCTCAACTTATTTTTGACCATCTTTGAAAATTAGCTAAAGGATGTTTTTTAGACTTCACTTTCGTCTTAATTTCTTCGAAAATTCCTCATATTTTCTGGTATCATCCAACGAAATGTGTGAATTTTTTGAGATTAAAAAAAAATATTTTGAAATTGAATATTCCTAAAATCTTAATCTAGCACAAACACGCTATATTTTTAGAAACATCACTTCGAGATCTATATTTTATAAATTTTCTTGGATTTTTAGACAAGTTTTTCAAAAATCCAATTTTTCAATACTTCACACTTTTGAAAATCTCACCTTATTTTTGAAAACTTTTCAAAATTAAATTGGAGAGATTAGACTAGCGGGTTTTTGTAGGTTTGGACCTCCGGAAATTGGTTTCACCCTCATTTTATTGAAGACTCCTATCATTTTTCCAGAATCGCATAACAAAATATGTCAATTTTTATGATTAAAAAAAATTCAAGTCTCAAAACTCAGTATCCCAAAATTTTAAGTACATATTTAAACAACTTTTTCAAAAGGTAAATTTTTCAGTAGGACTCCCTGCGACTCTAGAAGTTATTTTCGCATTTGTCCATTTTCGTCCAATGAAATATGTAAGTTTTTTAAGATTAAAAAAAAATTATTTTGAACCTGAATACTCCTAAAACCTTACAAGTTGTATTTTGGGAAACAGCACATCGAAATCTACATTCCAGGATTTTTTGTCAATTTTTAGAGCCTTTTAAATTGGATTTTTTTGTGGAATCTAAGACAGCTTTTTCAAAAGCTCAGTTTTTTTGAAAATTTCGACTATTTTTCTTCAAAAATTATCTTGACATTTTTTTTGTAGATTTTGACCATCAGAAGTTAAGTATTTTTGGCCTCATTTCTTCGGAAATTCCTATAATTTTTCTATAATCGTCCAAAATGTGGCAATTTCCAAGTTTTTTTTTTAATTCAATCCGAAAATTTTTGGGCAACTTTTCCACATACTCAACTCTTGTAGATAATCCATTACAAATTTATTTTATCGTTCCTTCCAAAGTGCTAATTACGTGATCTTTAGAAATGTTGTAAATAAACGTTTAATTAAAAAATGTTGTATACAGGGTGGTTCACAGAAACTTTCTGGGGACATAACTCACGAAAATCTAACATATAATTACCAACTAAAATTTTTAGACCAATCACATTACATAAATATTTACAGACTTTTGAAAGTACCACAGTGTCAGCGCCTACTCAAATCCGAAAACGCTTTTTTTCGCTTTTAAGATAATGACTAATAACGGTCAGTCCGGCCCTGTCCGCCGGGGTGTCCGAAAAGCGGCAATCGCCTCCTGCGATGTAATAAGCCGGTCGGCTCGGTCGCGCGCCTTCTTTTGTTTTCCTCGTGAAACATCTGAAAAAATAATTGAACATCGAACATTAATAACGACTCTAACCTGTTTCTCTTCAAATATATATCTGATTATGGTGGTTTTTTCGTTGTTGTCTGTGTCGTGGTTTCGATTTTTATGGCTGTCAGGGACTATAATTTCGGAATTCGATTTTTAAAAATTCTACTCTATATTTATGTTGTACGTGATAGCATTCGGTGGGGTATTTTTCATTCAATTTTCGTGATTCTTCGGCGATTCCGACGGCAAAAAATAGATTTATGGACGTAATAATATCGGGCTTAATTGAGGGAACGTCTCCCGAGGCCCCCCTGCGCCCGTCCGCCGGACCAGTGATTTTTTCGCTGTCGACGAGCCAGATAATGCTAATGCTAAATTTATTCATAGTTACTGGGAAACATTAAAGCGAGCAGAGATGCGTGCTAAGGCTGCTGGAAACGATCATGATTTTCCTTTAACTTTTAATTAGACGGACGGCTATGG